TGGTGCACGGGCTTAGTTGCTCCGCGGCATGTGGGATCTTCCCGGACCAGGGTTCGAACCCGTGTCCCCTGCCTTGGCAGGCGGATTCTTAACCACCGTGCCACCAGGGAAGTCCCCCATCAGTAAGTCTTTTGTTTGTTTGTTTGTTTGTTTTTGCGGTACGCGGGCCTCTCACTGCCGTGGCCTCTCCCATTGCGGAGCACAGGCTCCGGACACGCAGGCCCAGCGGCCATAGCTCACGGGCCCAGCCGCTCCGCGACATGTGGGATCTTCCCAGGCCGGGGCACGAACCCGTGTCCCCTGCATCGGCAGGCGGACTCCCAACCACTGCGCCACCAGGGAAGCCCCATCAGTAAGTCTTTTATCCCTCCTGATTTCTAAGACATTTTCATGTGCACTGCTGCCATTGTTATGTGCTTCTTCCATCTTTAATTTGCACAGATGTGGCTTAGGACCCTATTTACCCTGTTAGATCTTTTTCTCTCCTGCCTATTGACCTTTTGGCACCTGGTCCTATCACTTAACATAGTTTTATCCCTCCTGTTTTCAACATCTCGCTATTTAATAAGTGTGCCTTCGCTATCATTATTAATAAATATGTTGAACAGGACAGTTCCGAGGACAGAGCCCTGTGGCAGGCCACTACAGACCACCCCCCCGCAGTTGATATACCAGTCTTACTTTGAGCATGGCATGGCCATTCAGCCATTGGTGAGCCAGCCCATTCAGCCTGTCATTTTCCATAGCTGTCCCTCAAAGGGGTCACAGCCAGCCTTGTGGAACTTCAGTGTCTGCAACCTGATTCGCAAACCCAGGGCCTTGGCAAGTAATACAAATGAATGAAGTGATAATTAATTCAGGCAATTAATAAATAATCCCTGACTCCTGGCCTTGGTTTCAAGAAGGCAGTGCAAATGATGTGGCTAGGGGTGAGCTGGAGCGGTAGTCAGTGCTCAGTTGTAGACGAAGTTGCCAGGCAGGAGTGTGGACCTTCAAGAAAATCTGGGTTTCATGTGAAATTTGATTTTTTTTTAAATTGGCAAAACAAACATAAAAACCAAACAAAACAGATTTGTTTTGTGGCAGATTTGACCTGCAGCCCTTGAGTTTGTGACCTCCTTATCTCCTGGTCCAGTGACCACACAATACAAAGCACTAAGGTTAGTTGCGTGTTGATGGGTTGATGGCCTTCATTGAACCTGACTCCTTGAGGTCCCTTTAGTTACCCACTCAGGACTCTTACACGGACTGAACTCACCCAGTGTTCTGAACGTTGGGGATGACACTTGCTCTTTTCTCACCTGTTGTTGGCACCTTCTCCTGATGGCAAGTTTCTTCCAGGATCACTGGCAGGTGTGAGGAATGTGTCAGTGGGATCCCTTGGCTGGGAAAACTGGAATTTAGAGTTTCTTAAAGTCTCCTACCTGGCTTGGTTTCACTTTCCTCTTATCTGTATCTACTCTTCCTTTTCTTTTCTCTTTGGTCTGAAGAGCATTTTCCTTCCCAGGGAATTCACAGGCACAAGAGTGGGCCTAGCCCTTCCTTGTTCTTCTTATTCACACACCAAAAATAACTCTTAAAAATCCTTTTAGGGCTTCCCTGGTGGCGCAGTGGTTGAGAATACGCCTGCCGATGCAGGGGACACGGGTTCGTGCCCCAGTCCGGGAAGATCCCACATGCCGCGGAGCGGCTGGGCCCGTGAGCCATGGCCTCTAAGCCTGTGCGTCCGGAGCCTGTGTTCCGTAACGGGAGAGGCCGCAACAGTGAGAGGCCCGTGTACTGCGGGGAAAAAAAAAAAAATCCTTTTAGTTGTCTTGACCATTTGGGGAAGCCTCAGCTCATGCAGCATCAGTCTTCCTGACACTGTTTTTGTAAATCCATGCTACTCTCTCGCGTTTCTTCTTGTTTATGCATGCTTCTTCTGTCTTTTATACATAAACGTGTAAACATGTAAAATTTGATCACTTCAGATTTTGTAGCCTTTGCAGCCACGTTAGTTTAGGTTTCGAAGAAGGAAGGAAGGGAGAACTGGGTGATCAGCCACATTCCTGGAGGAAAGGTATTTGTTCCTAGTTTCTAGTTCTGAAAGATAGTAGTCTTCCACCAGCGTCAGGGAGAGGCTGGCGTATTCCATGGCCTGTGCGGCAGACGGACGGTGGACTGGGCGGGAGGCACAGAAGTCATTACGATTGGGCTCTTGTCTTGAAGGAACTACCATCTGGTGGGGGGAGGCAGCTGCTTGGCAGGTGATAAGTGCTAATAGAGGCATGTTTAAGGTGCCGTGGGAGCCTGGGGGAAGGAGCGTCGGTCAATCTGTGAACCAGGTCAGAGAGGAGGTGACATTGAGCTGATGCTTGAGGGGATAAGCCAAAGAGACCTCACAGAAGCTGGGAAGGGCATTCCAGGCAATGAGAACTGCATGTGCAAAGCTCAGAAAAGCATGTTGGAAAAGCATGAGGGTCCTTAGTGGCCAGAATTGGGGCAGTGATGAGAATGAGATGGGAACCACAGGCTGGGGCCTCTGCTCATCTCCCAGAGGCCTGTCCCAAATCCCAGTTCCCCGCTACCGCTTTGGAGCCCACGATGGCCATGTTTGACAATCTGGGGACTAGTATCATTTAACCATCTGTTTAATATACTGTATGTTCTACCTGAGGGACTAATTTCTTTTTTACAGGTCTTTTTAAAAAATTTATTTGTTTTGTTTATTTATTTTTGGCTGCATTGGGTCTTTGTTGCTGCACACGAGCTTTCTCTAGTTGTGGCCAGCGGGGGCTACTCTTCGTTGCAGTGCGCGGGCTTCTCACCGCAGTGGCTTTTCTTGTTGCGGAGCATGGGCTCTAGGCGCGCGGGCTTCAGTAGTTGTGGCTCGCAGGCTCTAGAGCGCAGGCTCAGTAGTTGTGGCGCATGGGATTAGTTGTTCCGCTGCACGTGGGATCTTTCCGGACCAGGGATCAAACCCACGTCTGCTGCATTGGCAGGCGTATTCTTAACCACTGCACCACCAGGGAAGTCCCCTAATTTCTCTTTTAACTTTTTATTTTGATAGAATTTAAAAACTTATAGAAAAGATTAAAGAAGAGTACCTGGGACTACCGTATACCCAAATTGTTTACATTTTGCCGTATTTGCTTTATCATTTTCTCTATGTGAATATATTTTTATATATGCATATACTTTTTTTCTGAACCATTTGAGATTAAGTTGGAGATACCCTTTATCCTTAAATACTTCAGTGTATGTGTTCTAAGGACAAGGACATTCTTTTACATGACCATAGTATAGTCATCCATGTCCAGAACACAGAGATTGATACGATATGATCTTATCCACATCCATATTCAAATTTCATCAGTTGTCCCAATGATGTACTTTATAGCTGTTTCCCCCCACTCCAAGATCTAACCCATGAGCATGCATTTTGCTGTCTCTTCAGTCTTGTGTCAGCTGGGAGAGATGTTTGTTTTTCTTGTCTTTGAAATTTTTGGAGAGAACAATCCAGGTGTTTTCTAGCATACCCTTTACTTTCAGTTTATCTGACATTTCCTATGATTAGATTTAAGGTTATATGTTCTGGCTGCACGTCTGTGTGAGTGATGTTATATCCTCCTTCTCAATGTTATCATATCAAGAGACACATGATGTTGTTTTTTTCCCCAATATTGGTTATGATGATAACTTTGATCATTTGGTAAAGGTGGTGTCGGCCAGATTTATTTCTCCACTATAAAGTTGCTATTGTATTTAAGTTATTTTTGAAGAGATGTTTTTTGTTGTTGTTTTTTGGGGTTTTTTTTTTTGCAGTACGCGGGCCTCTCACTGTTGTGGCCTCTCCCATTGCGGAGCACAGGCTCCGGACACGCAGGCTCAGTGGCCATGGCTCATGGGCCCAGCTGCTCCGCGGCATGTGTGATCCTCCTGGACTGGGGCACGAACCCGTGTCCCCTGCATTGGCAGGCAGACTCTCAACCACTGCGCCACCAGGGAAGCCCTGAAGAGATGTTTTGAGGCCATGTATATATCCTGTGCTTCATCAAGCTTTCACCTGCTATTCATAGCATCCACTGATGAGTTTCTAAATCCTTCTATATCCTTCTATATTTTTCATTGGCATTCTACTGTAAGGAAGATCTTTCCTTTCCGGTGGGATGAATTCTTGCCAACTCAGATCTGCCTCGTATTACCTTTTAACTTGCTGGACTGGACTCTGGGCCCAGTTCCTCTTGTGCTCTCCCCCTTCAGTGTGCTTTGGGTGGACATTAGGTGAATAGTGGTGGTTCCTGGGAAGCTTGGATCTTCTTCCAAGCAGCACCTCACTTGTCATTGACGTGACTGGCTTGGCGTGGGGCTAAACACACACTGTATTGGATGATCAGAGTTTCCTCAGGCCTAGGGCTGGGGTGGGAATGTTGTCTTGTCAGCTCTCTGAGTTCAGCCTGAGCTTAAGCGAGGACAGTAATGGGCAGAGAAAAGAACTGTGGGTTCCTTCCCCTGAGAAGCCATGACTGATTCCTTGTCCAGGCTGAATTCGTTAGTCAAAGCTGCTCCTTCCCTGCCCGTTCACACACAGACTTCGCACTTCTGGTGCATTGTTACATGGATGCTTAGTTAGCTTTCTTTTCCTCCTGACAAAAAACAAAGGTTCTGGTGTCACTTTGGTCATTGTGAGTTAAAGACCTCTTTGTGTGTCCTCAACAAATGCCTGGTTTCAGGGGAGTTTCATTGGTGTGATCAATATGAGGCTCAGAAAGGGTCTGAGCAACATTCAGAATTCTGCGTTAGGATCTCTTAAAGACCTGCTTTCTGTTTCTGCAGTGCAGCCAGCTGAGAAATGAGGTGTGAGAAGATGAGCTGAGGTTCAAGCTCTGTCAGAGACAGGGAGGGTTTGCAAGGAAAGCAGGGTTAGTTGTGCCTCTGAGTGGTGTGGTGCAGGACAGTGCTTTTCAAATACTGTGGCTCATCTTTTCCCCTTTTGTTCCTCCTCCTCTCTCTCTCTTCAGACAGGCTCAGAGCTCAGCCCAGTTGATGGACCTGTTCCAGGTCAGATGGACTCAGGGCCAGTGTACGATGGGGACTCACGGCAGCTAAGCGCCTCAGGGGCGCCAGTCAATGGTGCTAGAGAACCTGCTGGACCCAGTTTGCTGGGCACTGGGGGTCCTTGGCGAGCAGAGCAGAAGCCCGACTGGGACGTGACCCCAGGACCAGCTCATACTGCTCGCCTGGAAGATGCCCACGATCTGGTGGCCTTTTCGGCTGTGGCCGAAGCTGTGTCCTCTTATGGAGCCCTTAGCACCCGGCTCTATGAAACCTTCAACCGTGAGATGAGTCGCGAAGCTGGGAACAACAGCAGGGGACCCCGGTCAGGGCCCGAGAGCTGCCCTGCTGGCAGCGAAGACCTTGACACGCTGCAGACGGCCCTGGCCCTCGCTCGGCATGGCATGAAACCACCCAACTGCAACTGCGATGGCCCAGAATGCCCTGACTACCTCGAGTGGCTGGAGGGGAAGATCAAGTCTGTGGTTGTGGAGGGAGGGGAGGAACGGCCCAGGCTCCCAGGGACTCTGCCTCCTGATGAGGCTGGTCTTCTGGCGCCAATCACCAGGCCACTCCTCAGCTCTGAGGTCCCTCATATACCTCCTCCTCCGGAGGGCCTGCCCCTGTCCCAGAGTGCCCTGAGTATCGCCAAGGAAAAAAACATCAGCCTGCAGACCGCCATTGCCATTGAGGCCCTCACACAACTCTCCTCTGCCCTCCCCCAACCTTCTCACGCCACCTCCCAGGCTTCTTGCCCCCTTCCTGAGGCCTTGTCCCCTCCTGCCCCTTTCAGATCTCCCCAGTCCTACCTCCGGGCTCCCTCATGGCCTGTGGTCCCTCCTGAAGAGCACCCATCCTTTGCTCCTGATAGCCCTGCCTTCCCTACAGCAACTCCTAGAACAGAGTTTCCTGAAGCCTGGGGCACTGACACCCCACCAGCAACTCCCCGGAGCTCTTGGCCCATGCCCCGCCCAAGCCCTGATCCCATGGCTGAACTGGAGCAGTTGTTGGGCAGCGCCAGTGATTACATCCAGTCAGTATTCAAGCGGCCCGAGGCCCTGCCCAGCAAGCCCAAGGTCAAGGTTGAGGTACCTTCTTCCTTCCCATCCCCCATTCTCCAAAGGGAGGCCCCCACACCATCCTCAGAGCCCGATTCCCACCAGAAGGCCCAGACGGCCCTGCAGCAGCACCTCCACCATAAGCGCAGTCTCTTCCTGGAACAGGCCCACGACGCCTCCCTCCCCCCTCCCTCGGAGCCTCCTCCCGGCTGGTGGGCACCACCCAGCTCACCTGCCTCACAGCCATCCGACAGACCACCCAAGGAGAAGAAAAGGAAGCCCCTGGCACCAGCTGGAGGTCTCGTGGGAACAGACAAAGCTGGCCCTGGGATCAAGCCCAGTGTCCGGAAGTCCATTCACATCAAGAAGTCCAGGCCACGGGAAGCACAGCCTCTCTTCCCACCTCTGCGGCAAATCATCCTGGAAGGGCTGAGGTCCCCAGCCTCTGAGGACGTGCAGGCACATCCACCTGCCCCCGTTCCTGCCTCACAGGGCTCTGCTGTTCCCCTGCCCCCAGAACCTTCTCTTGCGCTATTTGCACCTAGTCCCTCCGGGGACAGCCTGCTGGCCCCTACTCAGGAAATGAGGTCTCCCAGCCCCATGGCAACCCTGCAGCCAGGCTCCGCTGGCCCTCTTCCCCCTGCCGATGACAAGCTGGAAGAGCTCATCCGGCAGTTTGAGGCTGAATTTGGGGATAACTTTGGGCTTCCTGGCCCCCAGTCTGTGCCCATTCAGGACCCCGAGAACCAGCCAACCTGTCTCCCAGCCCCCGAGAGCCCTTTTGCTACCCGCTCTCCCAAGCAAATCAAGATCGAATCTTCAGGGGCTGTGACTGTGCTCTCAACCACCTGCTTCCATTCAGAGGAGGGAGGCCAGGAGGCCACACCCACCAAGGCCGAGAACCCACTCACACCCACCCTCAGTGGCTTCCTGGAGTCACCTCTTAAGTACCTGGACACACCCACCAAGAGTCTGCTGGACACACCTGCCAAGAGAGCCCAGGCCGAGTTCCCCACCTGTGATTGCGTAGGTAAGTCCTCCTGGGTGTCAGGGAAGGGCAAGGGGATGTGACCTGGCGGGCTTGGATTTCTAGGCACTGTCTTTTATCTGGAAAACATTCACTGTGTTCCAGACACCACACCGGGGCCTATGGACACAGAATTGAGCTCCAGGCTAGTGGAGAAGACATTGAAGGAAACTGATGGTGATGCCGTGTGGTGTATTGTGTGTCAGTGGAGGTGCTTTGTCGTACAGATTGAGGTGAAGGCATCGTAGAAGCCTTCCTGTGGGAGGTGGTGCTTGTGCTGAGGCCGGTAGGGCTGTCGGGTAGAAAGAAGACATGCTGGGAAGAGGGAATAGCTTGGGCAACAACTTGGTGGCTGTGACAGGGTAGTGCTTATTTAGAGGGCTTTTGCTCTGGGGGAGCGAAAGGGGAGGAGTCATTGTGGGGATGAGCAAAAGGTGGCGAGAGAGGCAGGCAGGGGCCAGATCTTGCGGGGCCCAGCGAGCCACAGTCGGGAGTTTGACTTGATCTCTGGTAATACGTCGTGAGCTCCTGAGGGTTTTAAAGCAGGTGATGACCAGTCATCAGCTTGTGCTTCTGAAAGACTGTTCCGGCTTGTGGTGGGGAGGAAAGGTTGGCGGGGGAGCCTGTAAGAAAGGTATTGTTGTGAGCCAGGCAAGAAATAACAAGGGCCTGTACTGAAAGAGTAGGTGGGCAGAGGCTGCAGAGTGAGTGGCCTCTGAGGAGGGGGGCTATGGGGATGCAGACCACTCAGGTCTCCGCCTTGGTGGTGGAGGGCACTGAGAACACACGTGTGGAGAAGTGGTGAGTTCTGTTCGGACCGACTGAGTTTGAAGGGGCTGAGAGATTGGGGATCGGGCTCTGAGTTACGGGTTTGGATGTAGTTAGCATTCAGGTCATGGTTGAAGCCATGGTGTGGGTAAGAGCACTGAGGAATTGGGTCTGTTTCTGAGCCTTGTCTTCTGGAATAGAAGTAGGGCCCCAGGCCTCTGAGGACTGCTCCAGGGGATGTCAGCTGTCTCCAGGGAGGTCGTGGATGCCTCAGGAAACTCCAGGTCCACTCTAAGCTGTGGTCCTCTGCTACTTACCAAGCATTCCATAAAAGATGTGTGTGTTTCAGATGTTGGCAAAAAACACGTTGATGCTGATGATGAGCATGTTGAATTCTTGTGATTTTATGATACACAAATAGGTCTTAGGAAAAGCCTGTCTTCTCTGCTTGTTTAAATACACTAATATCTGGTCAATTGTGTGATTTGTTGGGATGTTGTACCCCGGTTAGTAAGGAGAAGCTGGGCTGTCCTGTCCACTCCAGCTACCCCAGAATCCTGGGGTACAAGACAGTGGGGCCAGTGACAAAGAATCACTTGGGGAGCAAGGAAAAGTTGGCCCCAGTGCTTCTGTCTAGGGGGAACAGATGTGCAGCATCCTGCCAAAGGCTCACAGACGTGCTCTGAGATTGTGGTTTCCACCGAGGGCTGACCCTCTTCATTACCGGGTTTAATAATGATGTGACTTTGAATGCCCCTTATTTCCCACCATTTGGGAGAGACTTGTTCTGATCATAGGAATTGGGGCCCCACTTTCTCTCTTTGTGTTTTTATGTGTCTGGCCTATCTTCCTGTGTTTAGGGCCTCATTTGCTCTTTCTCCCGCTCTGGGCTAGGAAATATTCTTTTATAGGGCTGAGGACATAGTTGATCCATAATAAATATTTTTTTTTTTTTTTTTTTTTTTGGACGAGCAGGCTCAGCGGCCATGGCTCACGGGCCCAGCCGCTCCACGGCATGTGGGATCTTCCCAGACCGGGGCACGAACCCGTATCCCCTGCATCGGCAGGCGGACTCTCAACCACTGCGCCACCAGGGAAGCCCCATAATAAATATTTTAATTGTGGAATTCAATTATATAGATATTATGTTTGGTCAAGCTAGTTTTTTAATTTAATTTGAATTTTAATCCCATCACTTCCTCATGCCTAAAATGAAAGTGCTAATAGTACCCTTTCACCAGGGTTCATTTGAGGATTAAATTAGTCAATATGTATAAAGCCCTTAGGACTGTGACTGGCATGTAGGAAGAACTATAAGAGTGCTTAGCTGTTACCAAGCCTGTCAAGTGCAAAAAAGCAAGAAAAAGGTGTAAAAACATATGTATTATGAAGGGAGAAAAGTGTTGGCTGTTACTTTATTCATCAGTCATTTATTGTTTACCTAGCCCAGTCCTAGTGACCCAATAAGATAAAAATTAAGAGAAACGGTTCATCTTTGAAGGACTTTGTGGTTTGCTTGAAGAGACAACACAAACAATGAAATACCCAGTCGCCCAATCAGCAGGTATCTGCCAAGTGTCTGTGCTGTCATACGGAAGTGGTTGAACTGTCAGAGTGCTCTGAAATACCAGGCTTGGTTGTCATCATGGAGGGTAATGCTTTACTTAGGAAACTATTCAGAGCTGGGTTTTGAAAACTGTAATGAACACAGATGGGGAGAGGTGAGTAGGTAGCCACTCCAGACTGAGGAATTTATGAGCACCGTCTAGGAGCAGACATGAGCAAGCTCGCATGAGGTAAGGCCACTAGCACACAGTGGACCCAAACCCTCAGTGTTCTCCTGAATTCCTTAGGCCAGAGGAGCCCCCTAGCAGAGGGGATAAGTCTCAGCTAGTGAGCAAAAAAGCACAGGCAGTAGACTGTCAGCATCAGAGAAACCCAGTGTGGCAATGCTGGCAACCTGTTGCCTTGGCAGGCAGGTGGATGGCAGGAACAGTGGGCAAGAGGTAAGGTGAGCCACCACCACCAATCATTTGTTGCTCCCATTTGTATTTTACATATATGTAATACAGATAAAATATTTGTATGCTGTCTAATGTAAACAAAGAATTAGAAGCAAACCCACCTTGTGTTGTTAAATGTTAAATTATGGGAAAACGCTGAAGTGAAAACAGCAGACACAAAGAGTATTTAAATGATCAGCTCACCTAGGTTAAAAAAAATAGAGAAAAGACTAGAAGGAAATGTATCACCAGTGGTTGTATCACTGTTCAGACTGTGGGTGACTTTTCCCTCACTACGTTTTCTGAATTTTCTCTAATGAAATATGTATTTTATAATCAAGAAATATTTTGGAAAGTACCTCCTCCTAGAAGTAGCACAGAAGAGTGAAGAGTGATAATCTTGTGGCAGGAGACCACTTAGGAAGCTATTGAGAATAGCAGTAACAACCACAACAATAGTAATAGAATATGAAACACTTGCCCTATTCCAGGCACTGTACCAAGTGCTTTGTAGTCACTACCTCATTTAATCCTCTGTAACATCTATATGAGGCGGGTACTGTCAGTAGTTCCACTTGAGTGATGAAGAAAGCAAAATTAGATTCAGTGATTTACCCAAGTCATAGAGCTAGCGGATGGTAGAAGTGAGATTTGAACCTAGGCAGCTGGACCACCATGTCATACTGTGATTAAAGTTGTTTAGCTGAGAAAGGAGTCCAACTAAAACAGTGGTATTAGGAATGAAGAGGGCCAAAGAAGAAAGCATTCACTTGGAAACAGTTTCTGGAGGTGTTGAGGTTGTGTTAGGGAAAGCCCCCGCATCTGGACAGGTGCTTTCATCAGCTAGTTTGATGAACTTGTCTTTGTGAACTCAGGCTCGGGTGGGACAAGGGTTAGGAACGAAGCTTGTTCACTCTGGGATTAATGTTAGCTAGGAACCGTCTCATATTCCAGAAACTCAGCCCCTCAACAGTGGTAGATAGAAAGGTGCAGATTGTAGGTCACTATAATGAAGAATTTTCCATAGAAGCGACAATGAAATTTGGAGATGCCATTAAGCGCTCATAACAGGCGATTTAAGTATGGAAACAACTTTATAAAAACATGGAAAGGTCTTATAGCAAAAGAAACCTAGTATTCAAGCTCCATGGTGATTTTTGGCAAATAAGCAATTTTGGCCAATGTGGGCATCACCAGGTAACCAAAAACTCCAAACACCAAGAGCATTGTCTTACACTTGTATGAGGATTACAGGTTTTCTGAAGGTATGGATGGGATTCATATCTACTTGTTCTCTGAATCTTGAAATACTAGAATTAAAGGTACCCCTTGAGGCTTCAAAGAAATAAATTTAAAAGACATGAAAGGAAATGCTGTACTCCAAAAGGTAGTGTGATACGTACAGGCTTGAGAAAACATAGCACAAGTTGAAGTTCTGCATTGAATTATTGGGAGAAGAGAGTATTGATGCATTCCTAATACGTAGGGGCACACATTGGAGACTCCCCTAACCACCACTTAACCTTCCTATAACACTCCTGTCAGAGGCAGGATGATGAACTGCAATGCCTGTTGGCTACGCCCTTTATGTACTACTTTATCTATTCTCAGAAATGGGGACATTCACAGGGAGAGCCAGCTTAGGACAGGAAATGAGTCCGGATGATGTTTTAGTGGGAAGAGCATCCTTTGAGATCATCTGCTCATCATTTTGTAGATAAGGAAACAGGTCTGTGTTAACTTTCAAGTCTTGTCCTGATGTCTCTGAGGAGCAGTCCACAGGTAGCTGGAGACATTTAACCATAGCAAAAGCAAGAAACTGAGACATAGATTTTAGAGGTTGTTTTCATAGGAATGCTGTATTTTTATCCAGTTGATCATCCTGCCCTAACTAAAGAAGTAGCCAAAGGGGAATACAAGAAAAACATCTCCTTTGCCTGCCTGAAGCATGGTAAAAGTTTGGGTGAGGGAGGGATGTTGCCCAGCAGACGTGGCTGATAGCAGCACCCACTGGGTGACTTCAGTATGAGCCACAGTTCTGAACAGGGGGACACAGAGACTGACCTCTGTTTACAGTAAAGTCTGTTTCCTATAGTTTTTAGGAGAATGTATTTTCCTCCTTTGTATGCAGTTTGAGATGAATAGGAACTTCATGTCTTTTAAATATTTTTTTGGCAATAGAGTATTTGTATACCAGTATAAAGTGGGGAATAAGACTCTGGGTAGGAGGGT